CGAGGTTATGGGAGCTTGTCCAGTGTAAGAAACACAAGTACTGTTGAAGAGTCCACAGTCTCCTCAGAGGCATAAAAGCATCCATGTCCTGACATTTTCACTATTGTTACAATGAAAAGACTCCACTCTGACATATCCCGATCAAACTGTGAAGCATTAGTGGGCATATTGTTATGCACGTAATGACCTAACCTTTCTGGGCAAAAGCCTGGCAGCTCACAGTTTAAAAATACAATTTAAACAGCTCCCTATTATCATTTACTGCCACTTTTAAATGCATAAGTGATTTTTGGTTTTGTCAAATGCAGGTTTCTGTTTTTGTTATTTTTACAATAAGACTTTTACTGAATATATTTTACACAATTTGCACTTGCAGAATAAATCTTGTTTCTTATCTTTATAATAAACTAATAATCTGTTATGTGAATATATCTTTCAATGGGGCTATAAACATGAAAGGAAAGAATATGCATTCACTTTGGTAGGAGGGACGAAGCATTTTTGTTGCCATCTAAAAAGCAAAGTGGTCAATACTCTAAATACCCTATTTCAGACCTGAAAACTGAGGGTGCAAAGAAAGGATGAAGGGGGGCAAAGTCACTGTAAGGACATCCTAAATTGGCTGATGGAGGCAAAATACAAAATGGATAGTTCCAACGGTGACCTTGCTAAAAAGAGAACTAGTATCCATCTTCGTGTGCCATTAGGATATAGGCAAGTTGTTCTACTGTGTGAATATTTAATGATTCTTAATTAGCTTAAAAAAACAACACTGGTCAGTAATGGCGCTTAAGTGCTTTGATTGGTGTGTTTGTATGTTTGCACCATAAATCACTTATTGGGTAGATAGCTACTAGATGAATTACATGTGTCTTAGTGACACATACTGAGACACAACTCCTTTTATTACAAAATGGGTTCAGTGTAAAACATTATGCCCAAAGACGTTATGTAACAAAAAGACACCAATTTCATCACTTTGGTCATGGAACTAGCCCAAAACATTTTTCCCCTTTATTTTATCTTAAATGCCACATCGGTGCGACATGCTCTGCCCCCAATTCTTAGCCAGCTACATCACCCTTGACCCTTGCTAATGCTCCTTGTCAACAACACACAAAAAGGGACTTTCCAAAGGTAATGCGACATACATTGCCCACGGCAGATTGTCCAGGAAGGTCATTCTTCAAACTGACACATACAGCAAGGTCACTGTCAGTAGAGGCTGTTCGGAGATCAGTTCTCTTGCATCAGACTGTCTTCAGCCCCTTCACTGTTACACTATCCCTAAAGGGCTACACTGCCACCAGCAGTCACTTAGCACATAAACTCAAAAGAAAACAAATGCCAAGCATTTATCACCAAACTGCAGCTATACACTTACTGTATTTTTAAGTATATGTTAAAGATTTTTTGTTTTGTTTAAGAAATGCAACAAATGAAACATAGTCTCCTCTTATTGTCAAGCATTTGCTCAGCACACTTGAGCATTGACAACATTAGTATTATTTTGCTACTTTTAATTAGAATATTAAGTAAAGTTTAAACAGTAACCTGTTTGTCCATATGCCTTCCATTAACTTTTCCTTTTTCTTCTTTTTTTAAATAAACAAGCTGTCAATGTAATGAACTAAGTCATTCAAGATATATATTTTTTTCTCTGTGAGGCAAACACTATTAAAACTGAATTATTTTCCCCTCCTTTGAGGGGACTGTGATGAGTCGGCATTTTCCATAAATGACCCAGCTGTTTGAGCATATTGTGTTTCGCTTCATCAGGGATTCAAAGGAGCTCACAGCAGATCATCCATATCCTGTCATGCTTTGGTCTTGACCATACCTCTCTAAAAGCTGGTTTCAGAGCTGGTGGTGCATATGCTACAGATGTGGGGCTAACATGACTATGTTAATGTTTTTCTGACTGCAATTAACCATTAAACACATATCAGCTTGTAATGAAATATAGGGGGTGGGCCTGCACAATATGTGTGCTACAAATGTGACCAAGGCAAATCTACCAACATTAGTGATAATAAATAAATCTATGGATAAATTAGTTGAAACAAATCTGGAAAAAAAAAACAACTTATTTTGTTATTTACAAAGTGCATATTTCCAACTGTATTCAGAGGTCATAGAAGAAAAAGTTAAATTTGAAACCCAGTGTTTCAGTCTGTGATCATTGATTTTTCTCCCATGTCCTTAATGGACAGGCTAAAAATATGCTGCTTCTGGGTACAAATCTTGCATCTGTTCTCTCCCAATACCAACAATACAGACAACATCTAATTGATACTATACAAGTCGCAGTGCAAGTTATTATTTTTTACCTTTTTCCCCATCACTTTGAATTTTGCCATTTTGGTATGCAGGATATTTTTCTAATATTAAAATAATAAAAAGCTTTGAAACTCTTGAAAATCACATGAAATAACATTTCTTTCAAAAGGGAAATTTGGAATTCAACATTTTAGCATTTTTGAATTCTAAAAAGGTTCATTTTCACTACCACAGTGACTAGAATGGTTACTCTGCCTAAAATTGGCAACATGACCAGGGCATGCTTTAATTTAAAAAGGTTTATCAATATATAATATAGATATTCATGCAGTATTCATTTTAATGAACCTTAATTATTAAAATTAATTAAAATATTCAGTGTAAAAGCTACTGTACTACTAGCAGTCAAAAACCTATATATTAAGATATTAAGCATGATTTGACAATTTTATAATGTGATCTGACTGACACATCCACATGATTGCAAATGATTTATTGTATTTGGAAGCAGGTGTGTCAGATATCAGCTGCCTACCCGCGTGCATGCATACTGATATAAGCTGTCCTCCTGTGAGTAATAAATCAAAACCCCAACATTTTTGCCATTAACATTGTTTCCTTGTTGTCTCTGTGCTGTCAGCAACAGTGGATAATCCCAGTGTAGAAGAGGGCTCTGTCCTTCTGCTGCGTCCATCCTGTGATTCAGAGGATACAGATTATCACTGCAAATGGAGGGCCTTGTCTTTGACTCATTTGCTAGAATCAGCAATAGAGGAAAGACTGACTCTATACTAGCCCCTTAACGGACTCTAAATTCACAAGCAGGCACTTTCATCTGACCATACAGGCTGTATACCCACAGCGCACATACACCCTACTAGCTTACATCCAGACATGTATGCTCAGACCTTCACACTTCCTGCATACAGAACCAACCTGGACCAAATCATTTCCCAATTCTAAAGGGCCAAAAGAGGCAGACATAGCATTGCTAATTCAGAGTTAAAGAAAATACAAAGGTGAGCAAAGTCAGTGTCTGTGTGTTCCTTTAACCATGCTACTCCATATCAGAGGGAATGCGTCAGCCCTACTATGGTTAACACTCAATAAAACATCAAAAGGGATGAAGCTCAGAGCTCTGGACAAATACACACCCACACAGATACCAGATACACACAAAAACTCGTTTCATTTATACGCCTTCTCTTACACACATATGTACACACGACGTTGCATATTGAACAAACAAATAGTGCAGATATAGATCACTGGATTAAATGAATAGAGCAGGGAGAACAGATAACAGGGTCGCATATCTTTAAAGAGTAAACAAACACACATCATGCATAATGAACGCTAAATACGAGTTCAATAGAACACTCAATAGAGCAGTTTCTTACAAACACACTATACGTCTGTGAAGGTTCTCAGTCATCCAGGTCATCGTAGTCAAAGGAGCTTGCAAAGAACACACTATACTAAATAAACACACTATACATTCACTGGAACAATTGGAGGTTTTAGCCAATATTGGCAGTCAATGCCAGATACACAGGAGCTGTCATCAACTTCCCATCAGGCTCCACTCCCCCCCAGTGGATGTTTTGAAAGAGGAGAAACACTTCTTGTGAAAATTTTATATCCAGAGGCAAAGGCATTTAATGGTCACTGTTTGGCATGTTACATGAGGAGATGGCATTATAATCATCTGCCCAGGCCAAAAACTGGGCTTTGACAGCTTAGACAGGCTATTCATTATTCAATTATTTTAAATATTTCAGGGAACCGACAGGATGCTCAAGCAATAAATATTTCAACCGTTGCCTTACAAAAGGAGATAGCCATGCACTTGGCTGGTATTGATCAAGAGGGCAGCAGATTCACTCTTTCCAATAAAGAAAAAACATATACGATCATCTCTCTGTCAGACCCTACACCGCCTAATGAAAGAGTCTAAATTTTCATCTGGAAAAAAAAAGAAAGTTAGAGCATCAACAGAAAAACACTTTATCATCACTTTCACATTTGGGGAAAAAGCAAAGAGACACAAAAGTGCATTGCTAGAACAGATTCAGAAATACATAGAAGCTGAAGGTGAAAGTGTGATGTAGAGCATCTGAGCTGGTGTAATACCAGACAGAATCACTTATCTGTGGCCAGATAAAAGGAATAAGGCAGCCTTTAAAATGCTGAGGCCCTCACGTTTATGAATAAAATACGGCTACTGTACAAAAGTAATTCCCTTCTCACTGATACTAGGTGTTGCAAAGATGCGAACAAACAACCACTGCAATTATGCCCCTTCCACTTGCAGCCACCCCTGGTGATAACCAATATATAGCAAGGAAGCAAAGCATAAATTGCTTTGCAGGCAGGCATCTTCCCTCTCAGCAAACACACATGCACAAGTATGCAGATACACATAGACACATTCTTCTCTGCAGAGGGGAGTAGTCTTTCACAGCCGTCACAAAAAGCAATCTTGTTCTCTGAAAGCCACGGGGCTTCTCATTGTGTAGTTGTACATTTTTTCTAACTTTGCACTTTCTGTAAAACTGATTAAATACAATGAAAGACAAGATCCGTCTTTTTCATAGTGCTTTCTCTTTCCCACGTCACTGCATATTTCATGCTGAGCTTTTCGCCTGCCTAATCTGCCCCTTTCACAGAAAACCTGAAGGGTGCTTTTAATATAAAAGAAGCCACGGATGTTTTCTTACCTTGAAATACTATCCAGAATCCTATAGTCCGCAAGCTGTCATGAGATACGATTGGTTCTGCTCCACAACAAGGGCAAAAATCCCACAAGTCTTTTAAAATCAGAAACCAATTAAAAGCCTTTTCTGATTTGAACTTACTTTTTGTGAGCAGGATGTCCTTCAGTGAATTTGTGCATAATCCATTACCCTTTAGTTCCTTGGTTTAGATTAATTTCTTTTGGGCTGGTTCTCCCTGATATTCCACCTTGGCAGAGCTAAACAATGTTAGGTATTCTACTGGAAAATGCGTTTATGAGAGACAAGGGAGAACGAGAGACTGTAGGATCTCTTCTGGTGCGCACTACCAGCTCCAATGCAAGTGAATCCAGCCGGTCCTCACAGCTCTCCCCCTGCCTTCAGGAATGAAATTCAGCATCCGCTGTTCGTCCCCACAACAAGGGGAGGGTGTCCCCCCAGGATGGAAACTTTCACAGACCTCCACCAAAGCTATAGATGGTGATAACACATGCCAGTGAGACTAGATTATGTGTTCTTTTCCTCGATATGCTCCCTGATCAGTGGATTTTGTCCTCTTTTCCTTCTCCTATTCGCCTGTTCGGTAGCGCTCTCCTCTCCAGAATAGACTCTCACAGAATAGATGCTGAGAAAGCAGCGGAATGAGGCGAGCCGCTCGTTCTCCTGCTGTCTCTCTCTCTCTCTCTCTCTCTCGCCTTACCCCTCCCTCACACATACACCCTCCCTGTTTCTCACTGCACCTCCCCACCCTTTCGTTTTCTCTCTCCTCCTCTCCTTTCCTTTACACACACACATACACACTGCGATATGCACTTCTCTAGCTTTGGCTTTTGACAATTACCGCTGTGCCATTTCCAGCCATGTCAGACAGAAAGGTTCACCGCCCATAGTCCTCAGAGTAACAAATAATGCCTGATAAATATGTAAAATTAAATAGATATGAAGAGAAGGAGCAGCAGCATGGAAAAGAGCACTGAACCAAGAGGCAATCTAATCTCCTTTCTTCATCCTTGTAACCTGATTACTAAATATCCCTGGAGCTGACATTTTTTTTAACTTTTTTTTTTGGTCATAACTTTTTTTTCTCTGATGTTCGGTAGTTGATGCTGGCCAACTGTCAAGTGTGACTGAAGAGGAAGACAAAAATAGCAAGCAAGAGAGCAGCACACTGCATAGAAACAAGAACCAAGCAGTAGCAGCTGTACAATTATATAATTAGCCACCTAAACAAATTGCCAGGAATTCTGTTATCATTGTGTGAATACTTGACGAGCTGTGTGCAATAATAAATATTGTACCAAAAAAAATACAATTCGAAAACATTTGTGTAAATGCTCTCGATACATACCATTCATGGTGTAACCAATTTGTCATATACAAAGAGCTGCCACTCTCACATGCTTATTATGAATAAGTAGCATCGCTAAAGCCAGGCAATTATCTTCCTAAGCCTGGACTTCACATTCCAAGTGAGGTAGCTTGTTTCCTATTTAATGGTATGTGCAACCCCTCATATGTTCGTCAATTAGGATTACACAGGCATTATAATTTAACTTCCAAGTCATGTAGAACACAAAAAAATTTGGTAGCTTGGTTGGTTACATTTTAAGTGGGCTTTATAAGTGGATGGTGCCCTTGATTTTATCGAGGCAAGGTTACATCACATCAACAACCTGACACCAAAACTATGAGCAGGTGGTTTTGGCAGAGTCACTTGCTACTGAATTCCATCCATCACTCTGGTCTCCCTGGGGAGTCATGCCAACAAGGACATTTTTTTAGTCCAGTTAAAGAAAAAAAAATCTAATGTCAGGGGTTTGTCTAGGAAATCCATTATCACAGGAAATATTTTAGTCAACAACTTCACATTTGTCCAGTTTAGTGAAAATCATTGCTTATTGTCAATGAGAACTTTTTCAGCTTAACTGTATTCAGTGGTTCTCTATGATCATTTAAACGTTTGTTCTTTTCATTTTTATCATTTTGATTTGTTGTTATTGTAAATGCATAAAAACAAACAAGTGAAACCATAAAAGGTGCATATATTGTGTACATATATTAATAAATTACAGTAATTCATTCTTTAAGAAATTATTGTTAGCCACTTCTTGTCAAACTTAATGCAATGTCATGCAAACATAAAATAAGTTTGCATTTGTATAGCCATTATACTGAAGCTTATGCATATCCACACACTTTATTACTGATTACATACACAGAGTTACCGATGCCAGCATGCACTTCGCAGCGGCTGCAGCTAGTTCTCAGACACCTATAGTACAAAGAACAAACAGGTTCATTAAACGCATATGAGGCTTTGACTGATGCTTTAAAGCTCTGACTTTCAGGGAGAGGCCCTACTCACAACCCCATTTCATGGACATTTGTGAAACAGTGTAATTGTTCATGTTTGTGCACACCTAATGAACCAAAAAGTTATTTGCAGAAACATCCATCCATCCACTTTCTCAACCACTTATCCAATTAGAGTTGAGGCTGACACTGGACGAGAGGCAGGGAACATCCTGGAAAAGGCACCAGTCCATCACCATAGCTAACACAGAGAGACAATCATTCATGATCACTTCTGCACCTCCTGCCAATTTAGAATCACCAATTAACCTAACATGCATATCTTCGGACTATGGGAAGAAATTGGAGTATCCAGAGACACAGGTCGAATATGCAAACTCTCAGCAGATCATCAGGTTCAAACCTAGAACAGGTCTTCTTATTAAATTTGTGTCATCTCAATACTCTTTGTAATACAACCTTAAATTCCCCACAGTACATATTATCACAACACTTTGGTAACAATGCTATGAAAATGGCAATTCTGCAAGAAGATATACTGCAAGAAAATCATCAATGACTCACAGCATATGTTTTACTGACAAGAAAAATTACTCCTAAAAAGGCAAAAGCAGGTGTGTGTATTTCCACTGCATGGTACCAGTGTGTTTATTATTTTCACTGGTCAGTTTTGTTGTGTCCATGTATTTAATGGGCTTTCTGATATGCTTTCCAATGTATTCAAAGTGTCTGTCATTTCTCCCCTGTGAATTTCCTCTTCGTCACTGAAAGTTACTTTACTTTCTTGCACTTTACCCTCATTCAGTTGAGGGCAACATGAGAAGGACTCATGAACTGGTGACTCCAGCAAGTTAAATTACACAGGGGAACGATTTATGGTGTCTCATATATTAATAATGGTCAGCTTATCAATGTTTTGTCCCACCAATAATTACGAGCCTTTCGTGAGAAAATTTGGCATTTTCTTTTGTCACCAACTGGCAACTATGATATGCTAATATGAAAGTACAGTGTTTTGGCAGACCATGCTTTAATACTGTATCTATCTAAAATATGATATAACAAATTTTAATAAACTGAACTTGCCTTGTCCAGGTTATGCACTAATAATTCAAAAGTAAGAAATTCAACACCTACATATTATCTTTTTATTACTCTATAATTGCAGGCAATGCTTTACCACAGCCAGATGGTCCCATGAGGCTGAAATTGTCACTTACTCAACTTAGAAATGTGATTAATGTTCTAAAACTGGAAGCAATGTTCAATATTCATCACAAGTGTTTACTGTGAAAGACAAGTGTCTATCCCAAAATTCCCATTTTCCTTCTATTTTTCTCTCTCTCTCCCTCAGTGTGGTACAGCTTGCAGATAAGCCTGGGTAAACCCTCTGGCTGAGTTACTAGCAAAGACCTTCCTGAATCTCATTATCAAGGTAGCACAGTTTCCAACCACCTGTCAATGGTCCAGATCCATGTTTCAAAAAGCCAGCAAATACAGCTCATGTTCCTTTCCTCTGCCACTTGGCTTTTTTTTGTTTGTTTGTTTGTTTTTTTACTTCTCAAAAGGCTAATGAAGTTACATAACTGATGTACATTTTTCCCATTATGCATTAAAAGGTATGTAAAATACAAAACAAAATAAAACAACAACAACCGGTAGGTAGCACAGGGAACAAAGGGATTATTTAATCACCAATCTTTACCAAGAAATAAGTTGTTGTATGACCTCACAACTACACCAACTGCACTGTGCTGTCTTCTTCCTTGTAGTTATGGTTAGTTTTATAAGTGATTGACAAAAGTTGTGCTGTTCTAAACACAGGTGCAGTCACCTGAATATGACATGCTCAGTTTATGTGCAATTTAGTGCAAGGTCACAAACTAAGACATGATATTCAGCTTTGGGTAATTTACTAACACGACAGACGCAGCTTGTTAACTGTAATCAGAAAACCTTGCATGTGTATTTCTGTGCTCTCCAACTGATGGTGTTAACAATACTACTACATTTTTCAATGCTGGAACTGTTTAAAAATAATAATTTGCAGATTTTGTGGAGGATTCTTATCCCTGTGTATCTGTGGTCGATATCTCTATGAAATATAGTAAGATTGCTCCATTGTTTAACATTACTTTAGAGGTAGCAAAGGAGCGCCATGCTGTAAATGCAGGCACAGCTTTGATGATTGCTAGAAGTATTCACATTAATCCAAAAAACACACAAGGCACCAAATGTTTTGGCCTCCAGAATAAGATATCATGATTCAACAAGTTCCAATTATGCAGTTAATGCCACTGTATTTATATTTTGCAGTGCAGACTATTACCACCTGCTGGATGTTTTCTTAAAAGGTATCCTGTGGAGTGTTCTATTTACATGCAGCACTACCGAAATGCACAACCCTGAGGTCTAAAAATGTGATGAATGCACTTCTGTCTCTATAGAGCTTTCTGTTTTGTTCTTTTATGTTTGGACTGTGTAAGAATTACCTATACCTACACATTTACTAGAAATCTTTTCCTCCCCAACCTTTTTTAACCGCAGACATTTTGACTCGACACAATAAGGAAAGCACAGGTGCATTATTAATAGCCTAGTTCCATTAAGTGTCTCAGTAAGTGTTTCCATTAAGTGTTTTCAGAAGTTATGACAGTCAGAATGCTAAACAGCAGGACCTACCCTACATGCAATACAGTCATGTAATACACCTGCGCTTTTTGTATATTTCAATATCCTTGCTCGCTTGTCTTTATTTTTACTTTCCGTACATAATGCAGCTGTGCTTAAAAATCCTGTAGTATTGTATGCATAATGCACAGAAATGGGATATGCTACATTGCACCTTGAACTTAACCCTGTTGCCGTTTGTATGCCTGGCTAAGTGACTATAAAGCATGCTGGTTTGTGTGCTTATCAATGTGACCGAAAACAGTAGGACATCCTGATTTTTTTGGCATACAGGACTTGACATATGGGCACAAAAAATGTTTTTGTGGCACAACAACTAGAATGATAGCAATGTGTAATAGAATGGCTTCTATATTTACTGTCAGAAAGGTTGTGTGCATCTTGCAACATAACAATTATCTGTCAATTTGGGAAATATTGTGAAATATTGAAATATTTATTTTATTATCAGAAATATAGCCACGCTTTGATGTTTTTCCATGCTATCATGTATTATCATGAAATTGTAACTTTTTAAATCAAAGACAAATGTTCACTGGCCCTGAGATGTCAGCTCACAGCAACCCAGAAAAAAAAACACCAGAAAACAAACAAAAC